CGGAAAAAGGTGTTTTGCTTGGTTTGTAGCAATGGGAACTCTATATCTTCTCACTAGAGATGTTTTGTTCCAAACCATGAGAAACTCGGTTCATGGGGACAAGTTAGGGACACATAGAGCATTTGCCATTTTCTAGACGTACATAATCTAGATAGTATCAGAAAGAGAAATGGCAGCCAGGAATTAATTGACACTTTTTACTTTTACTTCTGTCAAACTCGAGGGTACCAGGGGTTGTGTTTTATGGATAACTTATAAGTGCGAGTGATATCTGACAAGATTTGTCATAGACTAAGGTATAAATTCGGGATTCTAGCTATAACTGAGGACAAGGGACAAGGGACAAGAGAAACTAGGACAAGAGACAAGGTCAATGGAAGACGGAAAACAAGACGTGGCCCTCTACATCGGCTCTACCCAACCCATATATACATCATAGTAACCAGAGCAACTAAGGCTTCAAGGGGTGCGCCTGCTGCTAGTCTATTACTTCATTTGTAACCCATAGCAACCATTGTAACCCGGTAAACGCTCTAAGATGAGAGAATATTCAGATGTAGTGTAGGGAAAGAATATGAGGGTGCTGCTCTATCCTCAGTTCCTGACAACTTTATATATTATTCAATTTACTCGTAGAGTCTAACACTACATTTACAGGACTTGTTCCTCACTTTCTATAAGAAAATGTTGGGAATTAAAATGGTTGAATTTATCGAAATTTGTTAGTCTCTTTCATTTAGAAGCTAGAAGTCCTCTGTAGTCATAGACTCAGATAGGACTATATTAAAATCTAATCTAATCCAATCTAACACTATATGATAATTAACCAATCCCACATACTTCCAGATGGTGCTGTAGCTAGTCTCTTTTAGGAGTGATCTACGGGTGAGTGTAGCGATCGGTGGTATCTAATTTATCACTAACCTATTTCCATTTCCCTGGCTCTGCATGCTACACTACGAGTATGACTATTTACTACTAATGTGAAAAGCGCATTCATGACAGTATCTGCCCAGTATTTTGTGATGCGTCTCGAAAGTAGCTGGCGTTTTGTAGGCTAATCATTGCTAGAGACTGACGTGAAGAAATACGATTTCTATAAAGTTATGCTGGATCGTACTTTTAGATTCGACAAGACTTTGATTGAAGCCCAACTTGTGGAGACTAACTCGTTGAAGTAGCCGGAAGTATTAAAACATTGCCTCGCAGATAGAATTAGTTTCAATGATAAAAATGCTCAAAATTTATGCCTTGTGAATGTTTCACTCCTGTTTTTCAGTTGACACTTCTGACAGATGTTAAGCTTTCTATTATGAAGTGAACTCTCTCAGCTAATCAGACAAGCAGTGATAGATGAAATAGAGACCAATACAAGATGTGATCGGTGTTATGACATCATAGACAGTTGTACATGGATGATATGGATAAGAATATAAAATATTCAATATAGCAGGTTGGACTTTTCTGCTAGCAAGTAGATAGACGAGTTACAGGTATAAATAGTAGTATTATCCTGTATATAGATATTAATAATCGATATAATGAGTCTAAGAAAGCGGACACATATCACCGTCCTCTCCATAATAGTAACTAGCGCATCACAGTATAAAAGCTACTGCTTCCGGCAAAGACGAATTCTCCACTTTCCAGTGGTGCCAGTGTAATCGCTCAGTATGCTCTGCATATCTGGGATAGCCAAGAAGAATCGCATCCGAATCGAGTTCGAAAGCAGACACATGCGTATCTCCATTTGACGACTTCTCGATAGTGACTCTCTTATCATACTCATCTGAGTCCTCAATCTCTTTCTAAACCACGCATCATCTCGCCTCGACGACCAACAAAGAAGTAGCTCCAATTGCATACAGGAGCTTGCCCCATTAGTTTCCAGCCATCTCTCACTATATATTTACGACGCTATTTATACCCGCAAGGAGGAATCAAGCCGAAAAATACAAAGCCTGGGTCTTGGTCTATGGGGGTCTATTACTCTAATGGGACAAACAGCTTGAGGGGGAACAGGTCTCTGAAGATCATGCTGCGACAGATACATTCCAAGGGTTCTCAACTTTGTTATTTTTGTGGGCGCCAAGACCAAGATTTCGGCTAATTAGCCAGGAGAGCTCCTTTTGTCGATAAGTCAACGACACTCCCCAGCGCCCTGGACGGTATAAAAGAAGTTGGGATCAGCTTCTATACAGCAATCACGCTCTTTCAAGACTTTTCTGACATTTCAGCACGACCTTCGGGAAGGTGTTGGAAGGAGGCTAGAAAGTCAGAGTGTGAATTTCCCGAGGTACCCACAAGTCTGCAGCGGCCAGCTGGCCGGCCTCTTCGAAGGCTTCAGAAGAGGCAATATGTCTTCGGATTTATTCCTAATGTCGGTATTAGAAGAGCCCCGCACCCAGTGGTTTTTGCGATTTTTCCCGGCTGCCATACACCCGCAAATGGCCATCGTTTCGTTGACTGGAGAGGGGAGATAATAAAGGGCAAAGAGCACCTTCAATAGTATGATCGAATGAGGACTTGTGGGGGGTGGTACTGTTTGAGGGGAACTGTATGGGAGGCATAAGAGGGGTTATACTACTGGTAAAGGTATCCTTTGCCTGTAGTTAGAGAAGACCTGCATGTCCTACATAGTCATGGTCTCAGAAAGGACAATAAAATGAATTAGTAATAAATTATGGTGGCAATATTCCAGATATGAGATAGTTACCAGTATTGCTTCACGCACCAGCGGTGCCCGACATTGAATACCAGCGAAACAAAGCACTCATGTTATGGATATAGCTCTGCTGAGTAGTACAAGTTGCAGGTGATCTATTGGCTCACTAGCCTACACACCAACATGTTAGTTTGGTTTTTGGGGTATTACATGAGTCAAAGACTTTCTAGTACATTAGGCTGCTCTCCGGCCTAGCACACACCGCGTACAGTTCTCCTATCTTCTTTCGTTACATAAAAAGATCATTGATATATTGCCCCTGATGAATAGCCATTCAGCTCAGTATTTACTCGTAGAATTCAGTAATCTTTTCCACTAAGGCTTCAACACAAAAAAACGATAAAAAAAGTATCAGAAAACCTGCAGCCCCAGCCAGGCGAGACCTAGACACCGGGACCACATGAGATGCGCACATCCATCTATACTTCCCTTCATTGTAATATTAAAGGTCAATTGGATGCAATCGACCATCGCCCTGTTGGGTGCTGGATACGCTTTGGAAGCTCATCGGATGGCTTCTCGTCTTTGACAAAGGAAAGTGGTTGGGTACGAGTAGGGCTTCAATCCTACTATCTGATCTGATCGTGGTTAGCTTCATGATTTGGTGCTGGGATAATATGCTGAGCAATGAAGCTGACGTAGACCGCGAGAGTGAACGGGAATCCCCATCGTAGCAAGTACGAAGAGGTCGTTCAATCTCCACACTGCACACCATAGTGAGGGCTGATGGTTCGCAGGGGACACCACTGACAGGTGTTGAGTTACCGTCTTCCCTGCATGCGAATGAGCAATTAGTCGGAGGGCAAGACTGAACACCTGTACGCGGTGTCCTCTACGAAGCTGGGAGTGAAATATTCTCCCAGAGCCAAGTTCAGCCAAATTTCGCAATATCAAAGAAGTTGGCCCACGAGGCAAAAATTCAAACTACTCCACCATGTCAATCTTTCACTCCCAAAGAGTCTGATTTTCAACTAAGCTTCATCAAGTCTACAAGTACGACCTAGTACATCCTCGTTTCAATGACCACACCTCTCGTCGACTTTCTCTGGCCTCAGCCGGTCACCGAATACACGCCCACGCCGATATTTATACCCGCCGGAGGAAGCAAAGCGTGGAGCACAAATCTGGGAGATAGCTCTTTGGAATGGACGTGAGAGGGATCAGGACAAGTTCACAAAATGATGCAAAGGAAGAATATAATCTCGACGGACGTGCCGTTTAGAATTTTGGCAAGAGTTTTACGAATTGAGCTTTGTGCGCGCCAAGACTTCGCTTGCGAGAGTGCAGCTAACACTATAAACACAAGCAAACGATGGAAGGTGTTGTGGTGCGCCTCCTGGTGGTGTTCTCCGGTATAGTCTGAGTAGCCTGGGCACCTATTCCACTTGGGAAGGAGACGCCTCAGACCACATTTCGCGCGGAGAAAAGTTGAAAGATGATGGAGGCATGTCTGGATAACAGGGTTTTTGAGACGTTCCCCTGGGTGGGTATTCACGGATGAGGGTTGACTTGGAGTTAAGAAAAAGCTACCATAACTTCGCAGTGGTACTTGCAAATGAAATCTGAGGTATGAGTGCTCCTCTTGTAAATTGAGTCATCTTTTCTGTACTTTTCTTTGATATTGTGTCATAGCTAGATAGCTGCATACGCAATTAAAATCTGATGCAAAAAAAAAAAGAGCAATAAGTTTCCAAGCAAACTAATTTGTCAATAAGGAGCGAGGTCTTACTCAGCAAATATCGTTATCCTCACTTTACTCCTACAAACATTTTAAATGTATTACACTAGGAATTCTCTTAGCCGTTCCAGCGCAATCGTATACTACCACCCCAGACACCAAGTTAAGCAAATATTCTTCGCTCCTTTGACTACAGAGAGAAAGTAATAAACAGTGCGAGGTATATGTTAATAAGTACTTGGATGAAGGCATGTGCAGTATAACATTGGGACGGAAACTGCAAGGAATAAAGCTAGTCTTCGCCCGCAGAAGAAGACATAAAAACCAAAATAGTCTTACAATCTTCAGGCGAAAAATATCATTTCATCAAAATTTTATAATTAACTACATATTGCAGCAAATTTCAGTGACTCATGGTGAATTATAACTTAGAGTTTTAGCTTACTTACTAGTAGTACAGCTCATGAATTTTGGTTCGTGAATAAGCTGCGACTATGAAGTCAACATCGCTAAAATTTCAATAGCTTTCAGCTAAAACAATGAGCAGCAATTTAGTTTATTTAAAGTATGCATTTAAAATCTCTATCATGAATTATTTCATTCAATGCTCATCTTCATCAGGCCGTCATTAGTATCCATTACCCCCTGGAACCCCACCCATTTAGGAACAGAATTTCCATTTGGCTTTCCAGTTTCATTTAGTCCACACTTACTTGATGGCCGACTTCCCCAGGCGATATTATCGCGCTGCATGGGGCTCTGTATAATTGGGCTATTATGTGTGCTCATACTAGGGCTCACAGCTCTTCGCTTAATGTCAATTAAATCAAAGTCATAATCGCGCATGCGTTTTCTATTTAGTCTGTACGTTAATTCTGCCGCTGTAGATCCTGTTCTAGATTGTGGAGTAGCAGATCTAGATGGTGAAGATGACTGATGATCTGTTGTTTGACAGGCAAGCATTGATGCTGTCGAAAATGACGCGGAATCCAACAAAATGTCATCATTAATTCCAGATAATGATGCGCATGGAAATGAAGGTAGTAGTGGTGATGAATGACTACTCTCATCTCGGAAGGCTTCCCAAAAGCCTTTGCCTCTTGATTTTAACACAGCTCTCTCTCTAAAGCCTTCGAGGTTGTGGGAGAGTGTGGAAACCATTATTCCATCGTTTCTTGAACCCTGAGCCGGTTTATTTAAGTTTGGTGAAAGAGAAGATAAAGGGGCAGTCGCAAGAGAATTTTTGTGCCCGATGCCTAAGTCGCTTTCACGTGCTTGTCGAACAACCTCTGCCTCGCGCCGTACTTCAGACTCAACAGGTGTACTTTCCTCGACAAGAGCTGCCCGGATCCTGGCGAAACCTTTTGTTTTAGGCTAGAGGATTTTAGTGAATGAATAATGGAGTACATATAAACTCACCAGCATATTTCCTCTTCTAGTTACTGGCCGACGAATTACTCCTCTTTGTCCCTCCCGGCCGCTAATACTCGAAGTATTTTCAAGATTCTCTACGCATTTCGGAGCTTTATCGCCGTTTTCAGAGCTAGACGTATAGACTTTATTTGATTCTAAGCTGAAACCAGGTTCCTTTGTGGTCATGGGATCAGTCCAACCTTCTAGACTCGAGCATCCGTTAATGCCTACAGAGCTTTGAGGAGTAGACGATGATTTGTTGAGAGAGCTGATTACGATGTTATTACTCTCATGGCCCCAGTTCTTCCGGTTCTGAAACTTGTTCCAAGGAACATTTGTCGAGGTACGAGAATTGTACAATTCTTCTGGCCAAAAGTTTCCTGAGATTTCCTTGGGGAAACTACTGATAACTTCTCCGACCTCTACTTGTGGGGTTATTAGCATTGAGTCATCAATATCATCCATGAGATGATCTTCATCAGAACAGCTGTCTAAAGAATCCGATCCTGTTGTCATGTTGAAGCTTCCCAAAGAATTTGAGACTTTATCTCTGTCTACGTCTTCCATCATTGACCAGAATGAACCAGAATCGTGCGAATGGTCACCAGAGCCATTCAGGTATAGGCCATGAGCTTTATCTAGTGTTTTTATATCACATCTTGCTGGAGTTGGCAATAAGTCTGGAGATGACTGCTCTGCGAGAAATGAATGGTGTAGATTAGTGGCTTCTCTTGAAAAATTAAGTCCATGGGATAGCCGCGACGGCATGTTTGTGGGAAATCCACATGCTTGCGCATGATCACGCAATGGAGATTTGGATATGTGTGGACGAGATGGAACTGGCTCACGAGGTGTTTGTAATGAAATATTGCCCATTGGGAAAGAAAGCCTCTTGGAGGTCTTAGGATAGCGGCTTGGTATGCTATCATATCTTACTTCACCTCGACCAAGCTCATTTTCATTGGATGTTGGTGGCAGTGCCGAAAGGCTAGCTTCTGAGAAAGATCGAACCTTGAAGCCAGTGCGAACTTTTAGTTTTTGTTGCTCCTCATCGTTCTGCCTTCTATCTTCAAGATACTGTTTCGATTGATTTCGTAGCATTACCTGTCTCAGTATATTTCCCTAGTTACTTTCCGAAACTTCCGTAATCTTTGCATTAGAAGCTGATAATTTTCCTTGTGTTTGTTGTCCATGTTGTCAAGGAAAGATGTAGACAATGAAGCTATTTACACATGGGCAGACTTGACTAAGCCTATAATGGCGTCATTGGTATGCATTAGCCACGGACTCTTAGCGCGTTTGATCTAATTTGAGATCAGCAATTTCTTACCGGCAAATACTTCCGAACCGTACCCCCACTCAAAGGAAAATAAGGGGACAAATAACTTCAACAATATTGTATAACCACATCTGCATCCAATCAAATATTTATACATTAGGTCTCTAGAAATTAGCCGCAAGCCGAACTATTGACTAAATTTGCTCACAAGTAGCATGATAGAAGAAACGTCCGACTCTTCAGTGTACACAAAACCAGACTAGGAGCACATGTCAGTGGTGTCCTACGAATCTGGATGTGAAAATTCCTGCCGGAGCCGAGATTCATTGATGACAAAGAGTAAATTTAAGAGTTTTCACTGAAATGGCGATGAGAAGGAGTAGCGGTGGCAAGTTTTGGTCGAAAATCTGACCTGCAGAGATTTCTCGACTAAACACCTCGACGAAACCTACATCCTAAACAAGAACCGCAGACAAGATAACACTTGTCTAAAATTCTTGTTAAAGAAATCAAAAAGCTTCACTTTCTTAAACTTTCCTAGAAGATCTTTCCCATATCAACTCATCTGGCTACCAACCGAAACTCTCCCAAATCCAAAAGTCATACTCGAAATCACTGATGCACGTGGAAATTAATCTTGTCGTAACTGTCGTGCGCTGTGAAGCTGCAGTCTTAGTACTAGCCTTAGATTCGTCAATACCTCAGCCAAGACACCAATAACTCGACCTGCGACAAATCGCCACCAATAAGATATATACAATATCTCGCCGGCACATCAACTAGAGCATTCGACAAAGGCTGAACTACCGATGTCATGGTCACGAGCTCTCTGATCAATATTCGGCCTCCACGGCTAGGGGAGTGGACTGTCTACAAAGTTTCTACGATGGCGATATTGATACAAGAGTTAAGCAAAGCTGCAATAGAGGAAGAAAAACTAAGGAGGACTCTGTGGGTGATTGAATAAAGTCTACGATGAAGATAAGGACCCCTAAAGGAGATGAGGAGATGCTGGCATTAGGCACGAATGGGATGGAGTTCAAAGGCAAAATTAGAAATTAGGTGGGTGCCAAGGGCTCGGACGCGTGGTGGCCGAAGCTGCAGAGGAGTTTGCGCTTCGGAATGTAAAAAGCGGAATCTCTAGAGAGATTTATGTTTATTGTACAACTTGAGTATTAGACTATCTAGCATGTCCGGCTCCTCTCTGACTCAGGCCACACCTTGTACAGTGCTCCTATCCTCTTTTGTTACTTGAAAGATCATTGATATATTCCCCTTGATGAATAGCCATTCAGCCCAGTATTTACCCATGGAATTCAGCCACCTTTTCCACGGAACCTTCTACCCAAAAAAAAAAAGTTAGCAATGGAAACTGCGTGCGCGTGAAAAAGTCTCAAAAAACCTGTAGCCTTAGTCAGGCGAGGCCTTGACACCGAGGCCACATGAGGTGCGCATATTCATCTATATCTCCCTTCTTTATTACAGACGAGGTCGACTTGATCCAATCCGCCATCTCCGTATCGGGTGCTGGGTACGCTCTGGAAACTCATCGGATGGCTTTTCCTCCGTGATCAAGGTTTGGTGATGAGTAGGACTCCGACCCTACCATCTGATCTGATCGCGGTTAGCTTCATGATAATGGTGATAGGGGAACGTATTGAGAGATGAAGACGATACAGGCCGCGAAAGCGATTGGGAATCCTCGTCGAAATGAGGACTTTGTTGCTCAATCTCGGCTCTACAGTGAGAGCTGGGGGTTCGTAGGGGACACCACTGACAGGTGTTGAGGATAGTTCCGCTGTCTCAGGCTATGCAAGAGTAATTTTGGTGCGGCCCGAGCTTCTTTCTGTGCTTCTATAAATAAATAATTATATTGTCCTGATTTGGCGCCTTGAGGCCCATGCAGGTTTTTATCGGTAGATATCTACTTAAACTATGATGACTCAATTTGACGTTTAGAACACTCTCACTCAGATTTCATTTGTAGATACCACTCGAGGTTAAGCCTTACGGCGTATAACATCTGCCGTGCATGCCCACCACAGGGAAAAGCGTGGAAAACCTGTGGCTACCCGAGTGTGCTATCATCATCCCACAAATATAATATCACCGCAAGAGAGAATGGTGTGTGGGCTTTGCTGGATACTAACCAGTTTTCTCCTGTCTCAAATGGGGTAGGTCTTCGAGCTACCCAGAATTCGCTTTGGAGAACGGCCTGAATGGTGTATCACTGCACCATCCAGCCCCAGTGTGCGTCTACGTTCCCTTCTAAAGTTCAGTGTCCTAGAACCCAACTTATTTCCGTGTTAGCTCTTTACACAACATCATGACAGATGCGGATTAAGCGAGATGTAAAAGACGGATCTCATGTCTACAACGTGCTAATAGCTGTTTGGTTGTCGAGCAGCATGGTTATCTTTCCCCTCCTTATTTTGTTTTTCTAAGAACAAAATTTATCGCCCCGATAATCTTGGCGTCGAAATTTTCGCTTCAGTGAAGCGACCCCTGAGTGCAGCTGACACTGTAAACACAAGCCAGCGATGGAAAGTGTTGTGATCCGCCTCCTGGTGGTGCTCTCCGGTATAGTCTGAGTAACCTGGGCACCTACTCCACTTGGGAAGGAGACGCCTAAGACCATATTCCGCGCGGAGAAAAGTTGAAAGATGATGGAGGCATGTCTGGATAACAGGGTTTTTGAGATGTTCCCCTGGGTGGGTATTCACGGATGAGGGTTGACTTGGGGTGAAGAAATAGCCACCATAACTTCGCAGTGGTACTTGCAAATGAAATCCGAGGCATGAGTGCTCCTCTTGTAAATTGAGTCATCTTTTCTGTACTTTTCTCTGATATTGTGTTATAGCTAGATAGCTGCATACGTAATTAAAATCTGATGCAAAAAAAAAAGTTACAATTTGTTCTAGGAATAATAAAAATTTGCCACTTTCTTAATGATCCATCAATTCCAGCCTTAATCCCTCTAAGATAATATATCACAAGAGTCTAACAACTCTTATCGCACTTTCCAAATAGCTCTATCAATTTTACAGTCACAGTTTGACTGAATCCCAAATTTGATATAACGAAAAAAGGTATGCCCGGGATGGTGTGAACCCTCTATTTGTTGACATGAAAGGCCGACAAACGAAATTGGGAAGTAAATGGTGAGTCAGTTGTATTTATACAGGAGCAAAGTTTATTGAACGGAAAATTCTGCATGCCTTTGTAGAATTCTATGTAAAAATGATGCTCATGTGTTGATTGCCTGTCCGAAATTGATAAGGAATATATTATAAGCCGGGCCACTAAATGGCTTCGCGAAGCCATGACAAAACCTTGAAAATGTGGCGGGAATGGCAGCGTGCATTCCGGGTTGAGATTGGCTAGACCTATTTCATTCGCTATACTGGTTCAAATGAGACTGAAAGAAGGTACGAAGAAATATGTACCCCAAAGTAACCAATTATTGTAGAAAAAATGCTTAATCGAATTGTACAAATACACTTGCGGAAAGTCACATGGTTACAAATTCAGAATCAGTAATGAAAAGCCGGGGAGGGGGGTTTACTACGATAGTTTCCAGTAGCACTTATATTGGAATTACGAACACATGCATAGCTCTTCTTTTCCATTGTATTCTTGTGTATTAAAAACTTACTTAAAATTCTTATTTTTGTATGGAATGTACAGTATGAGTACGTATCATTTCAATGGAATTCTTCCTGATTAAAACACAAGATAGAGGTCGTGATTCGAACCAAAATTCAAATATATATATATATTATGAGCAGTATATCACTAGAAGCATGTAATTTTTGCTTAAAGTCGTTGTATATGTCTTTTTCTGTTAAATAAATAGTGCCAGATGTTTTCCAAAACACGGTGATTCTTTGCCTGAATCGATGCAAATACAAGAATTTGGCGCTATGTCGGGGTAAAGACCTTGATTACTGGATCAATTTGTTTGTCCTTGAGGCTACATGGTGCTGTGGTATAATCTCCAGCCTCATCTGCTTTGTAGAGTGTGGGGTTTTCAGCGTCTGATACTTTTGGAAACGAGGGATTAATGGCTCTAATAGAGCTCCCAAGGATGTGGTGAGGCCGCTTATCGATTTTGAAAATCCAGAAAACATTATGGAGTTTAGATCTTAAAGATTTCCCTGCGACTAATTTTCAAAGTAGGGGAGAAATGGCAAACCCTCGTTGGCAAGCTAGGGCAACGATATCAACGGATGCAGCCCACCATTTAAATGGCCTTGCACTCATAACATGATTTTACCTAAATTGCGGATGTACTTCATTTTTATCCCCGTGCCATATCAGATTGAATGCAAAGAGCAGAAACTCTGCCTAACCTTAAACCTTTGAGTCTATATTTTAAATATGGTCTATGAATTCCCGAGTGGTAAATGATGTTTTCAGCACTTTTTATATCCTGATTCAGGTCAAGTAGCTTCTTCGATATACCTGACTCGTCCTCCATAGTAGGTTTAGGGCTAGTGACTGTACCTTGTTTATGAAAAAATGGGTCCCTTGCACCTCAATCTTAATTGAACCATTATGATACGATCCCCCATAGCTTGCTTAGTGTAAACCACTGTGAATTTTTCGATCGCATTACATGATAACCTCGTTACAGACATCCTGAGTCAATTAGATATTGTACAGTGAAGTTAGATCGATCAACTCACTCGTTTTAATTCCTTGTAGGGTAGACATATACAATTCTGTACCCGAACTTCATCTCCAACACCACATTCTTTACCGAGAATAGTGATACTTTGCACTTTAACCCCATTTTTTACAATACTTGTCGTGTGACTGTTAACCGGCATAGCAGTACCTTCTACGCGAGCCCATGCCCCGATTCTACTGTTCCATCCGATTATTGCATTCAGGATACATGAGTCATGTTTTATCTCCGAGTCTTCTAAGACAATAGCTTCTTTGATGCGGACCCCAGCACCAACGATTACCCGAGGTCCGATAGAGACGTTTGGGCCAAGTTTTGCCGTTGGGTCAACGTTTGCTGTCGAGTGAATGAAGACAGGAGGAAGTATATTAGCGGATGGTTTAGCAAGCTCTTCAGAGCCAGTTTGCATGGCCTTCTGCAAATATAGTGCATTGGCAGGTACAGCGGAGCCTGCAGTTTTTATTTGCCTCCAAAAATCCTTGGTCTCATGCACGTAGAATCTCTTACTGTCAGCCATATCGCTGAGTATATCTTGTTCAAGCCGCATCACCTCATTTTTCTCTTCATCGTCCTCGAGAACAAATGAAGACTCAAGGTTTTCAGATGATGGATATGATAGGAGACGTGGGCGATCCGTGCGTTTCTTAATGGCACTTTTAATTGAAGGGAAAATGCATTCGGTCAGGAAGAGGTAGACACCGCAATTTATCAAATTGGAAATGTGAGATTCGGGTTTTTCGACGTAGTGCAGTACTCGACATGTTTGTGGGTCAGAAACTATGCATCCAAAGTTACTGGCTGCATTCTCTGTCACTCGCGTGCCGAGAATGACAGCTTCGGCATCCTTTTCTTCGAACAGTTTAAGCATATCATTCAATGGAAATGAACAGCATACATCAGCGTTTAGAACAAAGAAACGTTCCGGTCTGCCTTTTAAAATCGCATCTCTGAAGTGATAAAGACCCCCCGCTGTTCCTAAAGCTTGGTATTCTCGAAGGTATACTATCTTCAACTGAGGGAATTCTTTGCTTGAATCTTTGATGAAATCTCTAAATACACTTTCATCGTAGTATCCGATCATGCATACTTCTTGGATATGAGAAACTTTGGAGATGGCGGTCAAGCAGTGCCAGATGATAGGATGGCCCGCAACTTCAAAGAGCGGCTGAGAAGCAAGTATAAGAAGCTAGGTCATATTTGGTGAGAATCATAAGAACTCACTTTAGGAAGATCAAGCGAGAGAGGTCTGAAACGTGTTCCTCTCGAGGGACCTCCCACCTATTATCTTCCATCAGCATCCGACACTCGGCCTTGGACATGGGGAAGGACGTACCAAAATTACAGCTTTAGTGTTTGCATGAGCAGAAATTATTTTCTCTCTGGTGGGAACTTGAAGTGACATCTTGACGGTAATGTGTTGCAATCAGTAATTTCTACCCACGAACATCGACTGTTGCGAGATTGGAGAGTACAACTTTTGAGATTCACGTGATCAAGAATATGGTCCAGTAAAAGCAATATAGTGTTTGTGACAAAACTGGCCTCGGCGGGCTTCTGGAGCGGGTGTGTATGTTTCACTATTGTCTTTTCTCAGTCTGTAATTATATATGACGTGAAGGTACTATCTACCTACAAGCTGAGGATACCTATACCAGTAGTATATCCCCTCCTATGCCTCCCATACAGCTCCCCTCAGACAGCACCGCCCCTCACAAGTCCTCATTCGATCAAACACTTAGAGGAGCCCTTTGCACTTCATTATCTCTACTCTCTAGCCAACGAAACAATGGTCATTTCCGGGTATATGGCAGCCAGAAAAAATCGCAAAAACCACTGGGTGCGAGGCTCCTCTGATACTGATGAGGTTCCTGATGGATTAGTATGTGTGAAAAGTGAGATAAGCTTAGCTTTAAGATGGCGTAGATTACGGGTGTCTCGTGGCTCCAATCTACCAATATGTATATTAGAGCTTAAGACTAGATGTAACTTGGTATTCTATTAATACAGGGTATCGTCTATATAGGTACAGTATTCCTAATCTTGCGCCCGGACTCCAACATGAACAACATTACATAAGCATCACAATTTATGAGAGCCTCGTACTAATCTAGAGGTCTATCAATCTTGGATCCTCACTGACATCAGGACTAAATCCTAAGACACAGTGAGCCTTCCGAAACAATCGAAGAAGTTAGCATGATGGGCGCTGAAGACATGTGAGTACCTCAGGAAATTCATTTATCCGACAAGGGTTTAAGATTAATAGTGTTGTTATTTTCATGTTCCAAGGATTATCAATTGTTGCCTCGAAGAACCGATCTTAGGCTTGTCTCCAGTTTCTCCTCTACCATTTGACCAATGAGGGTAGGGCATAATCATATGCTCGGAGCTCTGCGATTGGCAGCCGCATGGTTTGAATTGGATTGTATATTAACGTGCTAGGAAAACATGACAAGGGCCCAAAGTAGCCTAGACATCAAAATTCGAAGCGAGCACATCGGGATTAATTCGACTTTACACAGAAGAAAAGCATCAGGAGTCTACGACCCATGCCGTCCGTGTGGCTACCAATTACAAAATTCCAAGCACACGATCATGTCCTGCTCTATTGGAACGAGTTTAAGTTGTAGGAAAGGTTACAGGGAACTTTGCCGGCTCCACCGGTCCTTCACCCAACGTGGATAAAGAGCTGTAGCTTAGGATCTATCGTAAAAAAAAGAAAATGACCTGCCCTAAGTGATCGAGGCTGAGGAAGAATTTGCGCTATGGCGTATATACAGCGGGCTTCTGGGCGGTCAGGCTTGGTATGATTCAACACATAGTTGAATTCCGAGGTGGTCCAGTCATTTAGGTGGGACGAGGTATATCTGTACTTCACGGTAGTTAACCTGATATGGCCCGACCCCACTCGCGCTTAAGCTTCAGTGGGAGTAGGGCGGTAGTCACTTTAACTAGCACGGTAATGAATAAACAACAACAGCTGTCCTTCAGGCACACAGATTTTCACCCTTTGCCACCAAGTGACGCTATCATATACCATCTACGACTTAAACTACCATTCACATCTCTCACTCACTCATGCCGCCCCAGTCCTCCGCAGCGCCTGTCTTTTTCGCCAAAAAATCTGGTGGAGGATTATGGTTTGTGTAGACTATTGTGGCCTAAATTCCATCACTATAAAGAACCGATATTCTCCCCCACCATTACAGGAAACTTTGACTAAACTTAGTAACGCTAAATACTACACGAGACTAGACATAATTGCTGTGTTTAACCAAATTCTAATTCTAGAAGGCCAAGAATGGATGACAGCATTTAACACCAGGTATAGCTTATTTGAGACGTTAGTAATGCCGTTGGAGCTTTCCAATGCGCCTGCAACTTTCCAAGCATGTATCAACAAAATTCTACGACCATGTCTATATATATTCTATATTGCATGTATTGATGACATTCTATCAATCAAATAGACTTAGTCAGGATTTTTGAGAAAAGAAGTTCTTGTGCGTGTCCCTCAAGCTATGTCTCATCTCTATCTATATACATTACATTCCCCAAACTTCGATCTCACCCTCTGTCCTTGATCTAGACTACTTCACTTTTGAATTCTTTGAAAATACCTTCTCCCTTCCCGACTTTCCACTAACTCCGATACACAACTCAAGTGATTACCACTCTACAAATTCATCAGAATAAATAATCATAAATTCACTGAAATGTAACCCAAACAAAGGAAATTTTGCTCAACACATTCTAATATGCTCTGATGACCTTCCCTCCCTCAGAATTTATGTTAACCAAATACTTGAAGTCTTACGCAAAGCTGACCTCCATTGTGATATCAAAAAATACGAGTTTGAACTCCAAGAAGTAGCAAACCTTGGAATGATCATCTCTACAAAAGGCATAAAAAAGCACCCTCAATAAATTCAGTGCATTGTTTGCTAGATGCCTCTATCCTGTCTAAAAGATGTACCAGGCTTCTTTGGGTTTGCAAATTTCGATTGTCGATTCATAAAGAATTTTTCAAAATTTGTTAGGCTACTACTTGCCCCAACTCGAAAAGATACAAAATTCGTATGTTCTGAAGCATGCCAGAAATCCTTTAATAATCTCCAAAATTCCTTCATCAAAGCACCAGTATTACGGCATTTTCATGCTTCTAAAGAAATATTTGTATGTTAGGACACGCTGATTATGGCAAGCAAAGACTCAAGGTTTAAAAGGTAATAAAGCTAAAGAGCAAAGCTCTGTCTACAAATTACATATTGTTAGACACCGAGGGTCAAAATGAAAAATGTAAAGTAAACTTGTATTGATGAAATCTCTGCTACTCAACTCCTCTCTAGCATTGATGCTATATACCCATCAGAAACTATTTCGGGGAGAGATTATCTTCTCGTTTCCCAAAATTACATATGAAATAAATTACAAGCGTTCAAGATCAAAATATCTCTAGTTGGAGCTTTGACTATCCTGAACATCATGATCACCATATCCCTGGTGAGATATCAAAGCTCGAGTAAGTTAACCCGAGAAGATGTCTCATCCCACTATCCAATGATTCTCATTACCATATTCAGTAGGTTTCAAACTATCAGATGTTTGACACCTGTCGTCTCGCAGAAACTATCAAGCATGTTTGCGAGTGAGGCTTTCGTCGAAGGGATGTCTCCAAACCTCCCCGACAAAGAGACGACTGATTCTCAGTCCGTCAGGTCAGTAAAAATTAGTCCCGAGGCCCACATTCCCATCAAGCTTGTGCCAGAGTCAAGCACCTCAAGGACAGGAAAAGAAGTTGTCCAAGAGAATACGACAGAACATACAGAAACGTCTACAAGAAAACTCGCTGTGCCAACTTCTAAATGCACAGCTTCGATATCAGCACCAGAATTTTCTTCGGAGCTGCAATCAGTGATAGAGGCCGAAAAGACAACTTCGGCGAATGGAGTCCGAGCAGGCCTTGGCCACAGCCCTCGGCCTTAAAAAAAGGCAGCCCCGCCCGCCCCGAAAGCAAAGGGAGTCATTACGAATACTACGGCTGACACACGACTTTTTCTGCGCCTCGCTCACGACCACCCCCACTGACTCATATGACCAGCTGGCGTAAGATCAGCTGTCTCAGAGGCACTTGGTACCGCAGCCAACAACGTCACGTTGGTTCAGCAGGTCAAAACAGGCTTTGCTCTAACAGCAAAGGATGAACTCGCTCAGAAAGAGCTCCTGGATCCCTCCGCGGCACAGAGGGAATCTGGAATCAATCTGGAACCAGCATCAAATCTGGTTGCCCTACCAATTGATATTGTCCCGGCGAGAATTAACACACTCACAGGTTCCGTTTTCATTACGGAAAAGATGGTCGCCGACGAAGTCAACCGAGTGACCAAATCGGTTCCTTTTCTTCTTCGTCCTCATGAGACCTGCAAACCTAGAGCGCTATACCAGAAATGGCAAGCGCTCTTCTCCAGCGAATCCATGCCTCGACCTGGATTCCGCCTCTTCAATGGGTCCGGAGCTGCAAAGCTCTTCTAACTTCGTCGAAACATGGCTTAGTTCAAACGATTTGTCAGCTTCCGTGCCTCTCGCGCTCCAGTTTGCTAGAACTGCGGATCAAAAATGCACTCGGAAACGGAATGCAAAGCCCCCACACGGTGTCGAAACTGTAGGGGACCTCATCGATCAGAGTCGCGGTTCTGTAAAGCCAGACCCAGCAAGTTCGGCCCGGTGAAAAAAGAGCAGCTTGCGATAGTCCGCAAGGTCGAGCAGAAAAATCACGCTGATTATGCTCGTGTCAAAGCTGCAGCCGAAATAGCCATTCAGGCAATTCATGGCGCGAAGAACGAAGTTTAGATGTCAGACGGATCGGGGTTTGGAATTCTGGAATCTAAAAAGGAGGTTTAAGATTACGGCGAGCCTCAGTGAAGTCGTCGAGGCTTCAACACATTAATAGTAGGACACCAGTTGGATAGAGAGTGCCTGGGAGCTCATCTTCTGCTCTCAGCGGTTAGAAATCGTCACTCGGAATATGTGACAGGAAAGGGAACGGGAGAGAAGCACGGGATCCAGACCTAATTGGGATTTCTTCAAAAATTGATTTTAGTTTTTGATTTTAGTTTTTCTGTTAACACCATTATTTATGTGGAAGTTCATGCGGTTGGAATGAGTTTGGCCTGTATACAGTGATCCTTACCGGCTCTACCGGTCCTATACCGATACTAGGATGTAGAGCTTTTTACTCAAGCTCAGAACTTGAATAATTCAACAACAGCAACATATACAGAGCCGGTGTATTGTATAAATTATCCGACACTCGATTCAGGTTGTCAGGATGCATGCCTGCTGCTGGCTAACGTCTTAGCATGGACTAACTGACGTCATAAATTCCCTCCTTGCCCTCACAGT